ACAGGTGGCATCCTATGACAGTTCCACGCTGGAATTCACTGAGCTCCTGAGAGCGGCCCATTCTTTCACAAATGTTTGTAAAAACAGTCTGCATGCCTAAGTGCTTGATTTTATACACCTGTGGCCAGGCCAAGTGATTAGGACACCTGATTCTGATCATTTGGATGGGTGGCCGAATACTTTTGGTAATATAGTGTATCAAGCTTATTTTGAACAAAATTTTAATCTTTCAGAACCAAAACCTCATGACCTTACATGAGGCACTGATTTAATCCATTCTAATCTGGTGATGTATGTTGTCATACTTGTTTGCTCTGTTTGACACACATAGCATGATGGCTATCAACAACCTTTAACATAAGAGCCTGATGACTCTAAATGATTCCAGCTGTCATCTGCTGCATTAAAGTCTTACAAAATGCTGTAGGACGTAAGATTCCCAACTTTTAAAATGAACACAGACAGCATATCTAATACGACAACCTTTTTTTGTGATGTTGTAATGATACCTTAATACTGAGATGATAATACCCCTCACATTCAATCCTTACAGCCAAATGTGTCCTTGTGGCCTTACAGCCAAATGTGTCCTTGTCTTTCAGCTTTACTGTCAAAATCAGGAATATTAAATTATCACTGGTGATGTCTAGTCAATTAAGTAAAGTTAATTTTACACATTTTTAACTGTGTAAAAATAGTGAGTGCTGGAATTCATTGGTGTATATGATAGTAAAATTCATAAGATATATATAGACATTTTCCTAAAAATAATAAATCTTTTTTTTTTTATATCAAATAAGGTTACAATTTTTGTAACCAATCTTGTGGTTGAAATCCTTTGATACCAAGAAAATACGATTCTATTCCAGAGACCTTCAGCCGACTTGTAATATCTCTGCCCTTTAACTTTATTCTGTCCCTGTCCCCTTGAATACAGATTATCTAGAGGCTGTGACAATACTATGACGCACATGTATCTGGTTAGGATTCACTAAACTTCAAAAAGGAATTGAAAAAGATTTTTCTACAAGAATGAGTGACAACCACCAAGGTTATTCTGGAGCATTTCTTAAAGTAAGGCCATCTATTAAGATAGCAGGTTAATGTAGGGCATGATTCTGTAAAGCAAAGAAGACAACAGTTTCTCAGTTTTTCTATCATCATATGACCAACCCTTGGTTGGTAGCTGTCATATGAGACGGGAGAGCTGGCTGGTGGGGGGGAATTGGCAGGTGGTGAGAAATTGGGGGGGAAAAAAGGAAAACACTAAAGAAATAGGGAACCTGTATATTAGCTATGTCAGTGAAGTTGGTAACAATCTTGGGGTACTTCCACAAATATAACACCACCTTGCCTGTCATGATCTGACCAAGACTGGAGCATAACAATATTATTAAAAATATGGCCACAGCTTGATGGCAACTAAGAGCAAGGGCTAATTATAGACTTGCATAAATTACGTGACTCCATAGGTTTATTGGTGCTGTGTATGTAGCAAAGCTTTGCTCATATCTGTATTCAGTTTGTTGTGTTCTGTCTGCTAGAGCAGCAGGGATTTATTGTGAACAATAATTGACACTTCAGTCAATGAAAGCTTTAGGGATGGCATAAAATGCTTGTGGATAATAAGAGCTTGAAGAAAAGTCCCCACACAATCCCTGCTGATTAACATGTGAATGATGTGCTGTGGGTGTTGGTGTGAACCTCTTAGCTGTGATATGTCAGCAGTCTCACCTCAATAGAAGGGCCCATTTGCAGTGAATGAAGCCCATCTGCTGCTCAAACCACTCTGGAAACCCTCGCTTTTGCTACATGTGTATTTAGATTGTGGATTTTGACTAATTGAATTCTTCCGTACTCTCAATTAGAGTGAAGAATAATTAAACAGATGTGTGTGCGCGTGTTTGTATGCATTTCTCAAACTGTGATTAGGAGAGGGCTTGCAGTGGATTGTGCTGCTTGAAATTATGTGAGCAAATTTACTAACGAGATGACCGTACCTTTTTGTAGCACTTTTTCCACTAAGGGAAAAGATATATTAAGCTTTTGCTTTTGGGAATACTGTTGTATTTTTCCTAGCTTTCATTTATTATGTCACACAGCATCATCTGATCTGATTAACAGCACTGAGCGTATTGATTATTCTAATTAAGTCTATTTTTTTTCTCCATGCTACACACAGTGAGTCGTACATTTGTGCGTTATCCTCAGCTCGGTTGAAAACTGCTTCATAACTCTTGGCCATCACCCTACATGTCATAGAGTCATTAGCTTTCCTCTCCTGCTCTCTGTGATGGGGCGGCATATGCTCAGCTGTTCATAAGGAGCCAGCAAAATGACTGTCAAGAGAAGGAACGTCGCGGCCCAAACATATTCCTATTAATTTTGGCCTGTGCAAAGTGCTGAACTCCTGTCGATGCCATCTGGACTCATTCCCCAGTGCCTAAACTGCGTATAGTAGAAGAAGAAGAATACTGAAAGGGTCACAGAGAGAGAGAGAGAGAGAGTACAGAGAACATGGACCTAGATGAGAACTAACGAAAATGGATGGTTGCATAAAGGAGTACATATTTCATAACTGTGAAATACTGAACCTCTGTAGGTCATTTAGATAAAGCAATTTTTTTTTTTTTTTAGATTTTATAGGTAACATAATTTTTTATGTTGATTTTCTGGGCAGCCCATTCAGATTATTAAAATGACCTGTGTGTAGTTCATTCCTCTGAAGTTACAAGACTTTTCTTGAATGGAGATGTCAAAAGCAGATCGTTTTTTTTCTCTGCTGTTAACTGCAATATGCATGTGTTGTAGCAAAGAGAAAGACTAATATAATGATAATGATATAAATGAGAAGATGGCAAGAAATAAATATAATGGCTATAAAAAACGTCTACACACCCCTGTTAAAATGGCAGATTTTTGTGATGTAAAAAAATGAAACCAAGATAAATCATGTCAGAACTATTTCCACCCTCAATGTGTATGTATGTTTAGTACATATCACCAAAAGAACACTATACCCATGTTGTAGCATGGTGGTGGCAGCATCATGCTTTAGGGCTGCTTATCTTCAGCCGGAACTATGGCTTTTATCAATGTAGAGGGAATCATGAATAGCTACAAATACCAGTCGCTTTTAGTACAAAACCTTTAGGTGTCTGCCACTAAAATAATAATTGACCTTTTTTTATATGGTGTGCCAACAGGTAATTGTGCATACAGTTGCGCTTACTAGCAGGTAACTGTGCATTTAATGTAGCCAAGGGATACTAAATCAAGGTTATAAAAAAATTGTGACGTGTGGAAGGGATATAATCTATTTTATCATTTTTTTGAGTGTATTTACAGCCAACATCAGGGGCCTGGCTAGCTCAGTCAGTAGCACGAGGCTCCTAATCTCAGGGTCGTGGGTTTGAGCCCCCTATCGGGCACCAAACCCAGCCACTGAGGTTGCACGAGCTAGTGCACTCTCAGTGCTGGTCCCAAGCCCGGATAAAATGGGAGGGTTGTGTCAGGAAGGGCATCTGGCGTAAAACCTGTGCCAAATCAAATATGCGGATCATAAACCGGATTTCCATAATGGATACGGAGGATCTGCTGTGGTGACCCCTAACGGGAGCAACCGAAATAAGAACAGCAACAACAACAGTATTTACAACCAAAATCATGAACTAACCGTGGCATATTGTGGATACATCAAATTGTCAGATTGTAATGCTGTATTGTCATACTGCTCCGTGCTTGAACAGATATTGTGCAAGAAAAAAATCAGCTTAAGTTCAAGGTCAGAATCCTGTGTAATTATCCATAATAATCCCTGTGTGTAACTCCTGCAAAACTGTCTGAGTAGAGTGTTCTTTATTTACAGCTGAGGTCTGAATACCAATTTCTGTATTTACTCTTCTATGAACATGTGTAACTCAAATCAGAATACAGCCTGTTGGATTTTACATGTATGCCTTTATGTTTATAAAAAGGGGCATAAAGTTCACAGCAAACTGGAAGGTAACGTTTCACCGTATCTTGATAAGTGTATTGTAACAATGAGTGCAGTGTATGGCCTGAGTTCATGTGCATGTGAAATTTTGGCCTGCTTTTACCCATCCTGCTGGTAGAGCACAGCCTGGCTTATAAAGGCTGGTTAATTAACAGAGCATTTGAGACAATTTAATCAATATGTGAGTGGCAAAAACCATTTTGGCTCATGATTGAGTATCAGAGGGGACAGAATAAAGCTGAGGGAATTCAAAGTCTAATTGCATAGGCATGATTAGTTTTCTTGTTTTGTTTTTTTTCTATACAGAGAACCCAGTCAAATGTTGAGATATTTGTAAAACATTTTGCCATTGATATTTCATACATGTAGTGCATGACAATATCCTATCAGTTGTTTTGAAATCTTTAAAAATGAGTTTCCTTCTTAGACCTTCCTCCTCCTCCTTATATTCCCTTATTATCCTGTGGAGTGTATAACATCCACTATCAACCCCCTCCCCTAATCCTTTTTATCTACAGTCCAGAATTAAATTCCTAAATATATAAAAATCCTAAAATTGGCAACTACAGACAATACTGGCAAGGCTCTTTTCAAGATAATTTGCTATCCAAAAAAGTAGAGAGAATCTGCCTCATTCTGGATCTGAAATATGAATTTCATCTGAAAGATGAATTGCCCGCTTTCGAAACTGTAAACGATCAAATGAAATACACCTCCCACGATCCTCAGCTCAAGTCAAGTTAATTCAATTCAGCTTTATTGTCATATGCTTTCATAATATACTGTATTATAACAATCAAATTCTTATGCTAAAGTAGTGTGCTCCTACAGCTACCATAAGGTCCATCTGACATACTGAGACAACATAAAAGACAGCATCATAAGTAGACAATTGTATATAAGTGGGAAAATGGTATTGCACATCTTCATCCAGTCACAAAAACCACAACCCACCTATTTTCATTCCCAAACACCAGGCTTATGATTCTGCACACTTGATACAACCCCGAGTCACATACACTCGTTGTGAAATCTTGCTTCAGAGTCTGTTCTACGAAGTTACTCGGCCATTCTCATTGTTTGCCTGTCTTTCTGGTTTTGGCCCTAGTTTGTTTAATGAATTATCCACCCTTTTAGTATATACCAGTCTGACCTTCTGCATGTTTATGACTTCTGATTACTACCTGGCCCCTCTGGTTTGTCTGCGTAAACTACTTTTAATCAAACTCAAACCTGCACTCGTGTTCTCCTTTCTGTCTTTCACGACAATCACACTGATGATATTCTAGCAATTACAGCCAATGTTTTTCATCTACACACTAAAGTAGACTGCAGTCAGAGAAAAGACAAACATCTTTTTTTGGTGCACTTTGTTTTTCAAGGGCTGAATTGCTGTTAAAAAGATGTACATTCAGAGCATAGTTTAACCTTTGTTTGAAAAATCTCTTGTCAGGGCAAACAGAATCAGAGTGACTTTCCTTCAGACAACTAATGCATATTCATGACTGGAACATATTTATCAGTCTGTGTAAACATAGCCCCTTTCCAGATGGAGTGCACATAAGTGTGTGTGCATGCATAGGGACTGTACTGTTGAATCTACTGTGTGTGTGTTGTATGTACACATGGCTAGACACTCCTTCTGAAGGCAGACTCGATGCCTGTCAGTGTCTCTGATGTCAGTCTAGTCTGCTCTGCAGCCGGAGAACAAGGTGCTGGACAATGTGACCTTTTATACACACACAAACACGCACACATGCAAACCTGTCTGTCCATGTTTGAGTTGCTTATTACAGGAGAGCAGCACATCTCGCATTTAACACCTTTAAGCCGACAACTACAAATGATCTTCCTCCCATTCATTGCCTCAACAAAAGACCTATCAGTCTGTGTGGGTGTTTGCATGGCCAAAAAAGTAATATTCTCTTCAGATGGATGCAGATAAACCTGACTGTTCTATTTGGCAGCCATATTGTATTTCACAGTCAGCAGCAGCTACACAGACAGATGGTGGAAGATAGTGGGAGGAGGAATATACAAATATTTAAAAAAGATTGAGAGAGAAAAGCAGGAGTGTGAAATTGTTTAAATAGCATTGTAGTGTATAGCTTTTAAAGTGCTGGAGTCCAACTCTGACTGAAAGAAGCAGGAAAAAAAAAAAGTGAGAAAAGTGTGCTGGCTTCTGAGACTGTAAGTTGGGAAATCAGGTAATGTTTGAAAAGGCTGAAGTGTTTATATTTTTTCCCCCAAAAGTGCTGTACTTTGGTTATAAGCCAAGATAACATATTAGCTTGTACAGTGCCATGAATTGTGGATCTCTTTAGGTCCTTCAGAGTTACCCTCGGTCCCTTGGTTCTCTGATCAGTGCCCTCCTTACCAAACATTGAATTTTGGTGGATGGCCTCCTCTAGGCAGAACCATGGTTGTGTCATAAAATAATGGATTTATGGTGCACAGTGGGATGTTCAAAGTTTGGGATATATATATATATATTTTTAAAAATCATTCCCTGATTTATACTTTTCTACTATTTTTGTTCTGAGCTTATAATACCAATTATGTCCATTTCAATTCCAGGTTGTAACAGTACATGTGGCAAAGTTCAAGGGAGCAAATACTTATTCAAGACACTCTATTTGTATGCCTCCTGGTTCACTGTACAAAATGTTTAAACCATACCAGGCTGATTTTCTTTGCTTTTACTCATCACTAGACGTTAGGCATTTTTAATATCCATTGCAAGGATAGGCTGATGAGTTTTATCTCCTCCTTAGACATGCGCCTCAGGCATTTATCCTTATCAACTTTCAAGCCACCCTACCTACACCCATGATATAAATTCATCATAGTGAGTCATTTGTAATAAAGGTAAGGGATTATTTCTCCACCTAGCCATTTAATAACTTGCAGAGTTCCATTGAGTATAAGCAGAGTGACTCATCTCGACATTCCTAGAATGGCAACAAGGTCTCATGATTGCAGATGTGAATTACATGGTCTCGTGATTGCAGATGTGACTTACACGGTTAAGGTTAGGTCAGTGGATAATGTTTACAGTCATTGATTTTTTTTCATAGCTCATGCACAGCAAACATTTCCTTCATTAATAATGCTTCATTTCAGGGCATGACTTCTGGCATTCTGACTCTTCAATTTGCATCACATTGCCACAAATCTACTCGAACACGCTGTCTGTCCGCCTCCCCCCTATTTATCCAGCCTGATGCATCATACTGGCAGGACTATATGTATAAAGTCAAGATTATATAATAGAGAGAGGCATGAATGTGAAGAAACCATGGGTGGTGAAGCTTGACGATTGAGCCAGGGAAAAAAAAAATCTGATTCTGTAGTGTTATCAGTGTACACTTGCTAACTATAATACAACACAGTAATAGAAGGCAAAACGCTCAACACCACGATGCCTATTAAAAGAGCTAAAATATCCACCAGTGTCCCACCTTTTTTAACCCTTGTAGCTGTCCAGCATGTACCCTTCAGTGCGAAGCACTTTAAATGAAAAATCCTGGATATGACCATAGCTGACCACAGCCAATTTCTATATGCAGTGCCAAGAAACTTCGTTCTGCCATTGCTGATCCAATAGGCAGTGAGAATGCCATCTGGAGCATAGTGTATAGCTTTGAAAAGTTTATCTCTTTTCACCACAATTTCAAGATATTTAAGTGAACCTCTTCTCCTGTGAATTATCTGTCAAATTTGTAGATCAGGGTATTGAACACTGGTAGATAGGAGTGCTTCTGAAATCCTTTTGAATTACCCTCAGACCCTCTTTTTGCACCACATTCATGGATTTCTCTCCGACATAAAGTAGCAGTGACCAGTAAGCTGTCAAGAGAGCAGTGTGTTTTTATCAGAGGTCACACTCTGCCACTTGCATGACCATCTCATTGTACTAGAAGTACTATCTTGGTTTCATTAGGGCTTTCTGCATTTCAATAAGCCTAGGATGGTGCAGCAAATACTGAATACAGCTCAGCATAGCATTACTGTTATCTGAAGATGGATATTTTTAAAAAAACATCTTATATTAGTTACTATTATCATCAGCTCAATAGTTTGCTAGCTGAAAAAAACGATTGAGTCTCCACAATGCATACAAAAATGAGACAGAAGAAAAAGTGACAGAACCTTTTTATTCTGACCCTTTGTGTATTCTGTGCTCCTTTGTGGTGAAGTAGTCCGTATTGTGCATGACTTGCTGAAGCACAATCCTAATTTATGATCTTGAAACTTGTATAATACAGTAAGACATTACTAAATGAGAATAAAAGCAAGATAATGTGTATAAATTTGTAAAAATTTCCACATTAACTGCTCTGCGTGTGTTGGTATAAATTCCTATTTTAGCTGCAGTCTGCTAAACAATGCCAAAAATGTTTGGTAATTCTAAAATATGCAGTCATTTAATTA